ATGGGTCTAGTTTTATTCTTGAAGCACACGTATCCTTTAGTCACTTACGGTGTGGGTTATGTTTTTGGGTTGTATGTTTTTTTTGTTTGTATGGAACATGATCAGATATGTGCACTCCCAGGGTATATTCAGGGACTGCACCTGGCAGCTTGGGGATGGCATCATTTCCATGATGCTGGGAGTGGGTGTTGTGGTCTGATGGCGGTTTGTATGGAGCCTCTTAATTTGATTATGGAAGAAGACAGGTCAGTTTGGGCACATATGAGGAAGTTGACAAAATCTGGGAAAGCAGCTCAGCCCTTGCAAATGGGATCTAGGTATTCCCTAGCAAAGGCCTGCCAGGAGCCCACGGGAGCTGTGTTTTTGCCAATTTAAGAAATTGTTGCATGTTAGCGTGAAGCATCAGCTCTTGCTTTTGTTATTAATATGTCTAGATTTCAGGTTCTGAAAGTTTTGCTCAAAGTGCCACATGTAGCTGCTCCAGTGAAGGAGATCAGCCTCCTGGGTCAAAAACATTAACTGTGAATAAACAAGATACTCCTGCTAAATCTATGTCACAGTGTTTATGTGTGTGGGGAGGTAGAAGGAAAGTGTGTGTGTGGAGGGGTGTTGCAAAGCCCTCACAATTCAGAGAATAATGAACTAAATCTTTGGACTGGAAAATGATGTTGGAAGGTCTGGAAAGGCAAAGACGAGATTGAAGGTTACTGTAAACTATAACGAGTTCAGTAATTGTCACCAGGTGTGTGTATACACAAAGTAACGCCTTCCTCTGTTATGCTGGTAGGGCAGCCTGAGTCACTGCCCCCTTCCTTTGCCAGAAAATAAACTGATGCGAAGCAAGGGCAGCACACGCGATCTTGCCCTCGATTTACCCACCCATGTCTTTTACAGCCTCAGAGATGCCAGCTGTTATGAGGATGATGATCTCGTAGCAAAATAACGGTATCCTTCCTGAATCTCCCCTTGGTGATGTGTCAATTTTGTGGTTTCTGAAAAGGTCAAGCAGCATCGTTAATGCACACCATACGTTTGTGAAGGCGTGTAATCCCTCAGTGAAGGTGCAGTGCTTTGTGGAAAAGAACATCTTCCTCTGAATGCAAAACTTGAGCATTCCCTAAAAGCAAAGGACAAGAGAATACATTGGTACATTGTCTCTACCCAGTTCATCACGGAGATTAGACCTTTTTATTTGAGTTGTTTCAAGTAGTGACGTCTGATTAAGTCAGAAATAGTATGCTTTTTTTTTTTTTTAAAAAAAAAAGGAGACTCTTCAACACTTAAAACTAGGCTTTTTATATGAATGCTTTCAGCCTCACCTGAGACTACATAACTCTTTGGACTTTGTAGGAGATCAAATCCAGTCCCAGGTTTTTCAAGTAAGGTTATTGCTCTGCTCCTAGGCTGTCCCCTGAGCCATTTCTGTCTATTTCTAATTAAGAGCTAAAGGAAGCAGTTTCTTCTGATGTCAGAAGTAGCGTGAAGAAAGCTACTGAGCATTTCTGTCAGCCCTGTGGGGAGGCTGGTGCTGCTGTCGCCCTCCCACCAGCCACCAGCGTGCCTGGGCTCTCCTCTGCAGGCCAGTCTCATGGGGTGCCGTGCTCACCGAGCACATGGCCAAGGCATGGGTGCCCACCCAGGTAATCTGCCACAAGGCATCACAGCAGGTTGAAATTCATTTAATACACCTAGCCTGAGAAGTTTGGCAACCCGTCGGTGTTGTGATCTGTGAAATACCTGGGAGGGAAATTTTTCAAAGTATCCTTGAAGAGGAGAAGGTAGCACTGCTGTGACTGTGTGGTGGTGATGGTGTGCTGAAGGTGCTTTGAGCCTGAGGCATAGGTATTTGGATGTAATTAACTGGCATGTCCAGTATGTCTCTTGTCTTAGGGCTGAGACAGATCAAAGTGTGTTTTTAAAACAGTGTGCTAAAATCAAGATAGTGTAATTTTTATAATCCAACATTCATTTATATATAAATTTTGCAAGTATTTGACTTGTTACTCATGCTTTAGTTCATGTCCTTTAAGCATGAATTTGAAACAGGTGCAGCATTTTAAAAATAACAATATACCATTTAAAAACTAATCAAATTCATCCTTTTGAAGTTTTACCTGTATGAAACAAATATAAATGACACTGAGTTTTGAGAGATGAATGGTTGCATGTTCTTTGGTTTCCAGGTCTTGCAAAACTGCTTTAACGTTTTGGTCCATACTATCCAGACTCTTCATTAATAAATCGATGTGTGAGCGTGCATGTAACACACACACACATACATACATACATATATATACATGCATCACCCACATAGGCACATGTGCCCCAATGAGGAAAAAATCTCGAGATATTAATGAATTTGTTCTCCATGGCTTAGAGGGACACACTGTGAAGGGTTAAAAAGGTGCACGTACATTTGGGATTGTTTTAAATTACAAATTTTTAAAAAAAGGAAGAAGGAAGAAAACTATTAAAAAGAATCTTTTTCCATTAACTGAAGTGTTTGCAATAAAGACAATTATAGCAGTTGGCAGTATTTTCCTCCAACCAAAATAAATAAATACATTTGGTGACATACGTTCAAGGAAATGTGATTGTTGCAATGTTCATGCAAATAAGAAGCAGCCTCACAAATGCTAGAGATTTTGCCATCTGGTGTTACCAAAGGAATACAGCTCTCAACTTGTAGCTTTTCCTAACTTAACTGCTTATAGATGGCATATTAGGCTTTGTCACACGTTTTTACCATTTGCATAATCATTCTGAATTATTGCAGGTTGTGCATTGCATTGCCAACAGTGAAATTCTCATTTGGGGAGGGGGTTCAGAGATCTGACAACTTGTATGTCTTCATCAGATATGTCTCCAACAAATAAAAGAATAGAAATGTCCTTCCACTTCAGGAGTATCACAACATTGCATTTTTAAATTTGTATGAGGCCTGGTGTTGCACTTGTTTACTTCCTAGAAACTGGGTAGAGATCAGTATTATAATTAATCTCAGAGGACCTGCCCATCTCTATTTGACTGGTGGCTAGAGTCCAAATGCAAAGCATCTCAGAGAGTCAAGAGGTTCTGGATGGGGAAACCTGGCTGATAATGAAGTCTCAGATCCTGCAACTCCAGGAAAACCCAATCCAACAACAGCTCTTCAGGGTGGCAGGAAGTCTACTTTAGTCACACAAGTTGTTGCTAGGAAGTCTTTTACCCTGACTTAACGGATGGGAGTATGCTGAGATAGCACAATGTAGTACCTGAGTAGCATTGCTCATGTAACAGTAAATTTTCAACTGCTCTGCCTCTGGCCTCAGCAGTGTCTGCAGGGGATGCTCTCCACTCATGGGGACCCCATGGGGAGGCCTTTGCTATTCCCCTTCTTCCTGGAGGGATGCATTTTCCATGCCCAAAACTCCACCCCTATGTTTTCCTCCTTGTTACACTGCTTTTCAAAGAGAGGGTGTTGGTGTGAATAACATACACTGCTCATGAGAAATACCGGATAAAACCCCAAAAAACTCAACCACCTGTAAATGGAATAAACAAACGGGTGGTTGGAAGCTGTCTCCAACCTGCTGTACCACAATGCTGTGTCCACAATAAACACCTGTGTTTGAGAGCCCAGCTCGGCTTTTGGCATCTGCCCTCAGACCCATCAGAAGGGTAGTCCTCAGTGGACTGTAGTAGTCTGAGTTAGAAGCATTGACAAGTAAACATAAGATTTTGTGTTTGTTTGGTGACTGCTAAGGCATTGTTTTTAAATACTAATAGCATCTAACATATCCTATGTATGTTCAGCTCTCTCAAGTCTTGAATTAGAATCAGATAGCTGTTGGCCTTTTGAGTGCCTTGCCTGAGGCATACTAGGTAATGTCACGTGGGTAGCCAATGCAACATATGTTTTGGTAACGGGGAGGCTGGTTAGCAAGACAACCTTTTTCTTATTAACACATGATGAACTTACATGACATTAATATATATTTCTACTTTACAGATTTACAGTGCCAGAAGAAAGGCATTAGCTGAGCTAAGCAGAATAGTCAATCAGCATACTCGTCACATTGTCCTGAAATAACATGTAAACCTTATTAGACACATTGGTTTCCTTTGTGAGGAGAATAAAATGTAACAGACTGAAATGTGCAAACCTGTGTTGTTCTGTGGAAATTCAGGGAAAGGATTCTCTGGTTTGTGTTGTCATGCATTAACCTAGAATTCTGAAAAGAAAAAAGTTAATTTTTATTCTGGATGTCTATATTGGAGCCAGGCTAGCTAATTTCTAAGAATTAATACTGTTGTGTAATGCAGTGATTTTATTCTCTCTCCAGCTACACACTACCAGCCATACATACACTATCGTGCCAGTGTTCATTTATTCATGCTCTGAAGTTGTGATAGTGTCAAATCCATCAGAAAGAGGAATTGTTTCAGTAGTAGTTTCACGACTTGGCTGATTAACAGAGATCAGAAGCAGCAGCCTAACTGTGGAAATCACTACAGCATGTAGTTTTAACAGCTCTTTAGGGAGCTAGTTAATGAAAGAATCACTACAGAAACACATCCATGTGAAAAAAGGAGCATTCTCATACAACACTCAGAGGATACGTCATAAGTGGAAATATGTTCATAATTTCTATTTACTCATAGCTGTAATTACTATCTGCCTTAAGAGTACGTTCAGTCTTTGTCAAAGTTGCTTAGATATTTCTTTTGTCACATTTCAAGCAGGGAAGTTCTGCACAGACTAGATCCTTCCCTGTGATTTCTTTTTTTATTCTTCTGTAAGAATTTAATTATCTATTCTCTGTGTGAAGAAAGCACCAGCATTCCCAGAGACCTGAGCCTCCCCAGCCTGCTTGAACTGGCATTCATCTGATTCATGTTCTTGCTTATTTTTGCCATCTGTCTGCAAACCAGAGTTTTTCACTTTTAAATTCATGCTGGTTTATATGTTGACCGCTAATTTTTAACTCTTGAAAAGCTATTCCTCTTTTTCACTGCAGTGTGTATGAGCCGGATAGAAACGTGCTGCGAAGGAAAGAATGGGAAAGGAGAAATCAGGAGGCCCAGCAGGAGGATGGCGCATTTAACACGAGTTACTCCCTCTTCAGTGAACCGTACAAGGTAGATGCTTCCCAGCTGGGTGGCTCTTTGTTTATTTATTTATTGCTTAGTACAAAAATTCAGCCTGCAGAAGGCATTGTCCAGGTTTGAGCACCCTCCTACTAGTGCTAGCTTCACAAAATTCACAGAGAACATTTATGGTTCATTGAGAATTGGATTTTATGTATATGTGTGTATATAGATATATATATAATCCTCTTATGATGTTCAGCATCACATGAGAATGAAATAAGCTAGAAATATCCTAACAATATTTGAGATGAAATTAAAACGTGAAGGTGATGGTGCCCTGTTTTTGCAACACTTAAAAGAAAACAATTGTGTTGGAATTGTGTGAGAAGGTCAAGCAATAGAGTAAACATTATACTCTGGCCAAGGTTAATGCAGTGAAATATCTTGGTGTTTGCTCTTCTTTTTTTTTTCAATAAGAATTACCAACAAAATTCGTCTACTTGACATGTTTTTCCCCCACTAAAGGCAGAAGTAACTTACGAGTCTCAAATCCCTATTTTATTCCTCATGGTAACAGCAGTGTGATGAGGCACAACTGTTTCTCCCCACTCCCTGTTAGAAGGGTCAAGCAGGATCTTCTGCACTTTGCGGTAGCCTGCAATCAAACCCTTGTGAACAGGACCAGAGAGTGGTATCCCATAGGGGCTGCTTCTCTCCCCCAGCTAACCCAGTGGCTTTGCCTGTGTGCATCAAAGCATCATCATGTATTGTCTACTGTGCCCTTCCAGTAATGTCCAAGTTACTGTTACAACCACCACAGTGTGAAGAGCCTTTCCCTCCATGCAACATCGCTTGTCCTTGATGCTTTGGGTGCTTTAGTGCCTCTTTCTAGGAGTCCTATTTGGAACCTGGCACTTGGCTTCTGCACCTGATTTCCATGCTTCTGTGTTTCTGCCCATGCTCCAAGGTCAGCTTTTAACTTGCTATTCTTCCAGATTGGTGGTTGTTTCTAGTCCCTAATAAAAAAGAAAGATCTACCACTTTCAAACAATGTCCCTTGATAGAAGACAGCTCTGTCTGCCTTGAAGCTGACCTCCAGCTGCCCGAATTTCAGATTCATTACAAAGGCATTTAGAAACCATGGGAAGTGTCTTGAACTCCTCAAGGCTCTACTTCAAAAAGTCTACTGTGAGACCAATCAAGGGCTAATCCATGGAAAAAATCCTGAAAAGCTTGTCAGCTATGTCTTGGCATTTCGTGAGGGCTCTGCTGCAATAGGGACTTAATAATTTTCCATTTGGTAGGTCCAATCAAATAGATCCCTCACAAAAAGGACCTGTCCTTTTCCTGGGTCCCTGATACTGTTTTGTCTGTGGTTGGTATGTGGCTTGTTAGTACCACAAAGTTGCTAATACTGAAGCTCAAATCACTTATAAAAGTGGTATAGTTGGTATATTTTGTGCACTTTGATTGTTACCTGTGTGCCAGTGTACTGACTGTCATGGGACAGGCTTCATGTATCATGGACACACCAGTAGTTTCTGAGTTACGATGTCTGAAGGCACCTCTATGCAACCACAGTATATGCAACCATCAACTTTAATATGAGTGGATGAAAAATCATTGCTGTCTCTAGAAGCAGAGAGGATACTGAGTGGGTGTCCTATGGGGAGATCAGAATAATGGCTCCATCCGTGCTTCTTATCTTTAAACACTATATCCCTATTTTGGAGAAGCGTGTAAAGAAGGTGCTGCAGAAATACCTCCTACAGCTGGTTTTGTCAAGGAAACATGGAGAAAGTCAAAGTCCAGAACAGCAGCATAACTCATCCACAGCTCTGCTGGTGTGACAGTCGCAGCTGCTTCGGATGGCCAGTCATTCTGACAGTATTGGACATCAAAACTTCAGCAGTGACGTGCTCTGAATATCATGCGTACACTGGCAATGGACCATTGCGCTGTCTGAACTCATCCAAGCATTTGTGAACCTTCAGTGTAGGGGTGCAGAGCTGTGGCTTGGGCTTTTTATTCTTATCATGGAGAGAGGCTGAGTGCAAAAGAGGAAACACTTCTGCAAAAGCAAAACTGAAACCCACTCTTACTGTCTTTAAAGATCATGTTCAAGTTTTAGGTGTTTCCAGAGGGAAATGAAGTTACAGCAGACATTCACTGCAAGCTCTGATTAAATTCAGTATTCCTCTGCACAGCTTGAGTAACATGAGCTAAAGCCAAAGGATTTGCCATTCAGGAGGCCATATCTGAAAATCAAAGGCAGACTGGAAATCTCTTAAATCTTATGTCCTCTCTCACCTTGACATGTATCACTACTCCTGTAACATCAGATTTTCTGAAAAATCCTGACGCTTCAGGTTGCCCCTTATCCTGTTCAAAGTATCCATAGCAACCCTTTATGAAAGATTACAGGAAATCCAGTATTCTTTCACTTAAAATGTCTTTTACATGGTGTAAAAAGTAGGAGTTCCATTCTGGATATTTCCTGGACAGAATACCTTGCCTCATTAACCATATCAATATTTTTAATGAAGAAAAAAATTCTGATGACCTTCCATGTAACCATCAGGTTTATTTTTAGAAGTGTTGAATCTTGCAGTTTTCAAATTCATGGATACATCTTGCATTGCAGAAGAATATCAGAGCACTGTATGTTAGAAATGTTTGCACAGAATGCTTTTCCTACTTACTTGTTTTGTGATCATGTTTTCCCTATGTGAATGATTAAATAAGGCCTGCAATATTTCAGAGTAAATAATAGGACAAACTGTTACATCTAAAGATCGTAACAGGTTACCTTAGATCTCATCTTGTTCCCAAAAGGATGTTGGAGAACTCTTCTGGATGAGATCTACTCAACACAAAGTCTTCTAACCTCAGGTTGTCCTCAGTGTATCTAGGAGGAATAAACAACGCCAACCTGTTGCCAGCATGCACTGTTGTACAGGCATTAGACTGGTTTGCTGCAATTATTCTTGTGGTTATCTGGGTTCTCTCAATGCGAGGTGTCTCTGCGTGACCTTCACATCACCTCTATATAGAAGACAATCTGCTGTCTTCTCTGAGCTACTGGTAGTCTACAGACAATCTGAAATTAGGCTTTTATTTAATTCCCATCCAAATAGCAGCCATCAGAAAGAATGGACCTTCTATTAGGGAAGTTGGACTTTCCAGGGGCAAAACTAGCACATAAATTCTTTTACGTTCATGTACCAAGAGGCAGCTGGGTGGAAAGCTGCCCCACAGATGTACTGTAGGAGCGTTGTGGGTTTCAGGCCTGTTCCATTTGGTGGTCCTTGTCACCATGCTCCCATCAGGGAAGGAGACCTCACACACAAAGAGGTTGGGTGCAGGACCAAGGGCAGATCTCCCTAGAGGGAAGCTGGAAACATATCTCTCTACAAGGTGTCTGCATGAGCTGGAGGATCCACTGGAAGCATAGAAGAGATCCACTCAGTAAAAGGAAACTTTTCTGTGCCTTCTGGAAAGTAATTGTACTGGTCAAGGTGACGCCCAAGTGTAGAAGCCATTTCAGTGACCCCAGGAGACACATGAGTATATCTCCAACCTTCTTTGTTTTCAGACGTATATGAATCTTCCAACTTTTGAAGCCTCATTAATAGTTTCCTCTTCTTTAGGACATCAGTGTGATTCCTGTGAAGTGAAGGAACACCCTTTTTTAAAGCCACTTGCTGTCTGTGAATGAATGCTTCATATTTCTTTTCATAGCACGTTATTGTCCTTGTGACACCAGTAGGTGCATATGTGGAGGGAAGATCAGGCTGTAGCGGTTGAGCCATCTTACTCCAAGTTTGCAAAGCAATGTTTTGGAGGCAATACTTTTGAGTTTTTCCCTTCCTACTTCCCTTCAATATATATTATTGATATATATTCAGCTATGTTAGCATTGTAATAAATGCGTATCAGAAATCTAGCTGTAATATATTTTACGTAATTACAAGGTAGTGTCCTTGAAATCTGAGGCGACAAGTTTCAAGCAAGACAGGACTGCTTCTACTGTCTGACTTAGAAATGCTTTCACTGTAGTCCTCTGAAAGTTAGCATGTGGCAATCTCTGCAGTCATTTACAGGACATTTTTGCTTGGATTCAGGTTTTTTAATAGGAAACCCTAAAAAAAAGATTCTGATCTAGGAGAGTTTCCCTTGCCTTCTGGAGTAACTTAGTTTCATTTGAAGCCTTAAAAACAAAAATACCCTCCAGTTTTCTAGAGTAACTGATGTTGCTGCTACATTTTTTGTATTTTTTGTATAACTTTAAGGGGGTCTTTTCCATTCCCTTTACTCCCTCTTTCTCCTTATTTCTGTTTTCCTCTAAAACAAAGAGTGTTGAGATTAAAGCTTGGCCTTCTGAAGCCAATGGGAGTTTTCCCATCCAGACCCCGTGTCTGGAAGAGAGAAAGGAGAACACCACTGGCTCATTACTGTCTTCCTCTGAAAATGTAAAGCAAAAAGCATCACATGCCTGAATCTTGGCAGGGTTCAGAAGAATCTCTGCTGCATAAATGCTAATGATACACCCTTTCGCTTACAGTGGCTTTTTAAAGCAAGAGTTTTCAATCTTTTTCTGTATATTTTATTTGCTTGTTTTATTTCTTTGTGGAACTTCTGCCTTTTCAGTCAGGAAGTAAATGGATTATTTTAAAGACAATGATTAATCTTAAAGGGGAGGGAGGGTGGCTGTGTTTGTGTTCCCACTGATGCACACAGCAAGCACTGAGCAATATGAAGAATTTGAGGGGTTCTGTTCACCTTTTTTTTTTTAAAGAGGAGAGCGTCCTGGAGTGAGCATCCTGTCAAGAGTATTTTCAAGGAAGGGACGTAGTCATCTGTAGTTTTCCCATTGTCCCACAAGCTGTCTTCAAGTAATTTCAGAGTATTTTGTTGCCTTAGGCTGGTGAGTTCATTCAGTGCTTATACTGGATGTTGTGCAGCTTCCCAGATGCCATGTGAAAACTTAAGCAGACACAGAAAGAAATTGGGAATACAGTGTTTTCATTCATTGCTGACAGAGAGCTTGTACTGGGCTATAGGAAAAGTTTTATCATGGTCAGATTTAATCCACGCCATTCTGTGTAGTTGCAATAATAAATTTTCTAGTTTCCAGGTAATATACTTTAACTACAGCATGATACCAGTGATAGATTTCTTTTTTTATATACTCTAAGGCCCTTTATAGCTTTTCCAGTTCAGGGTAGATTTAAGATGTTGACAAGTGTCTTCAGAGACAATAAGGATTTTCGATTTCATCCCTCAACGCCGCTGCTGAATAAGGCAGTGCTACTTCAGTAAGGATTTCAGCAGAAGCATGCAGGGAATTTTGTTTTTCTTATGTTGGCTGTTGCAGAACAGTAGATTTTTGTTTTGCAGACTAACAAGGGGGATGAGCTCTCGAATCGCATCCAGAACACGCTGGGCAACTACGATGAAATGAAAGACTTGTTAACTGACCGATCAAACCAGAGCCACCTTGTTGGGGTTCCAAAACCTGGGGTTCCTCAGACATCTCTCCCCAAGGCCGATGAACATCTTACTGCAGACTCAAGACCACCGCCTTCTCCTCCCATTTCCAGCACTACTTCTTCCACACCAGCAGCCCTACCTACCCAGCAGAACAAAAGCACCACGATGGGCTGGCAGAAGGCCGGGCACAATGCCACTTCAGATGACCAGCAGAGAGTGAGCAAGCACGGGCACCGGTCGCTGGAGTCACACAAGGGTGACTTCAAACTGGTGAACCAAAAATCCAACCTGGAGAAACTAAAACGCTATGCATCGAGTCCCACCTCCTCCTCCTCCTCCTCCTCCAACACCACCCAGCAAAGTTCATTGAGGGCCACGCTAGGAGAAAACATCAACACAATTCAGCAGCCAGCAAAACTCAACTGTAGCTCGGAAGGAGGAGCTCAAGTGCAAGAGAGGCCAGCAAAGCACGGTGGTGGGCACTGCGTCCAAAACTTCCCACCCTCTCTTGCTTCGAAGCCCAGTCTGGTTCAGCAGAAACCAACAGCTTACGTAAGGCCAATGGACGGTCAAGACCAGGCTCCTGATGAGTCTCCAAAGCTGAAGTTACTAGCTGAGACGACCAAATCATATAGGGGAGTGCCTTCTAACAAGCCTGATTCGGCCAGGACCAAGTCAAAGATAGCCAAGTTCAGCATTCCTAAGCAAGAAGAGGTAAGTCATTTTACACTTTGTATGACATTTGCCCTTGGATGGATGATGGTGGCTTAGAACTGAAAATTACATCTGCCTCTACATGTTTTTAATATAGTAGTTTACATGTTTAATTTTTTTTAATAACATTGATATACTATATTGCAAATATCAGCTTCACAGTAATGTCAAAATATCTCAACAGTGAAATGATCACTATCTTCATGACTGCATCGTGTCCTTCATTGGCGCTAATAGGATATATTATTTCACTGACTTTTTTTCCTTACTGTCTACATATAAAGTCTGGATAGTTTTAATTTGGATTTTTTTTTTTTTGCTAGGCTTGGGTATTACTTCTAATTGTTCATATTTCATTGACTTTTTTCTCTTTTGCACTGTTTAAATTAAATGCTTGTGATCAGAAGTAGTTCTGCCATCATGTCAGGGTAGTTTCAAAAACTAAATTACTTAATGTGAGATCTGTGGAATAGATGAGAATATAACAGTGACACTCTCCTGTTAGTTCATAGTATGCTTCTGTTTCAAACTGATTTCTAAGAAGATTGAGGTTTTTTCCCTAAAGAATTGCCACCTGTAGAAACCCGGCCACGCTACAAGTATGAGAACATGTCTGAAAAAGCTTCTAGACAAGATTTCTGTTATCAGCAGTAGACATGAAAGATTTCTGCTTGGACTTATTCTATGTTCATTTATTTCACACTCCATTTATGCCAGTAGGACACCTTGCTTTATCACTTACACAGTCTGTGATTTTCTGTTTGAACTTTTAGGATGGGGAGGAAATGGTTGGTTTTGGCAGAATACAGAGGTGATTATTTTTTTCCTTGGGTGTATTCGGAGGCCTGTATGCCACTATAAAGATGGTCACATCATCCTCTTGTGCAAATTGGTAGAACTCCCATGACTTAAAAAATTTATAGTATTTATAGGACTAAATGACTTTATTTGGCTGAATCACTGGGACTTTCTCAGTGCACAGATAGTGATTGTTTACTCTTATTTGACAGCTGTGGTGTGTCTTGAGATGTTTTTAGTCTTAACATTTTTGTTTCTGCCATCATTAAAGGAGAGGAAAAATCTCATTTTTGGTGGAGTTCTCTGGCCTCTTAATGCCTGTTTTTCAGAAGTGGAGTTGACTGTTGTATTCCCACTTCAGTTTGGGAAAGAAATCTCTCTGGAAGCAATTACTTTGCTCAGCTCTTTTAGGCATTATACCCATGTGGTTTTTCTCTAAGTTAAAGTTCCATCAGTTCCAAACAACACGGAGGTGATATGTTGTTTCTGAGAAGGAGTTGTTTTAGACTCTTAAGCCAGATTTGATAAGCAAATTTAGCATTCACAAACTGCTGTAATTGTGCAGATAGATCAGGTAATGGCAGATACTAATATCCATTTAGCTATTATTACCTCTTTCAGACTTGTGCTTCTATCTGCAAGTGGGAAGCATTGTTAGAATTAAAGATGCCTGTAGCAATTGTCTGGATCTTTCAAATTTTCCCCCTTTACATGAATGCAATACTCTAAGGACTAGTTTGGAAAAGAGTTTTGATAGGCAATCATTTGTTTTTCTGAAATTCAGGTTTTACTATTTGCATTCCAAATTCACTTACCTCAGGAAAAAAATCTCTCATTTGTTGTATGTAATCCATACCAATGCATAAGGGTAAATTTATACTTCAGTTTCTAGACATGTAGAATTATTCGAGGTTCCTTTAAACTAACCTGCTTAAGTATTGACAGCAGTGCTGGCAATGGTAGGAGAGCAGACTGAAGGGTAGCTACTAAAGTTTTCACCAACTTCTCACAGGTTTTGTGGGATGCAGTATTTCTGAAACAGTACTTGATATTTGATAATATAAACATTTAGCTGAAGTTGAAGGAAGTGGACAAAAAACATTGTCTGGTAGTTTAAAAAAAGGGCTAAGTGATTAAAAAAAATGATGGACATACTACTCAGAAGAAAATAGTAGGTACTATAGGTGTTGTTGGGGTTTGAAACTTGAGCTAATGAAAGTGTTTAATGCCATGTTGGAGGGCTAAGATTCCTGGTGATAAAAGTGCCCAGCTTTTTTCCCTTCATCCTGACATTTCCTTTGTTCTAACATTTTCCATCCCAAGTGGCACAAGATGAAATTGGTAACCCACTGGTATTGCTACAGGGAGAAGTATTGACCAAGACTGAAAGTTTTTCAGTTAGTGTTGCCTAATCCACCCTCCCTTTAATTTTCAATCATACTTGTTTTTATTTCAAAATGTTTTTCCATTCTTGTTATTTGTATTGTACAACTTGTAGTACAGTTTTGTAAGAATTTCCATGTGTTTTTTAAATTTCTGCTTTCAAACGCATAATGCTTCTCTTTTGCATCAAATGTTTACGGTCCCCCATTAGAGACAGAAGTTTTAAGCTGCTCTTAGCCCAAAAGCTGTCATGGTCCTGTGAATATTTGCAAGCAAAATGAGGCCTCTCTTGTTCCGGGTGGGGCTAAAGGTGGTGGCCAGGAAAGACCTTGTATCCCTAGTGGCCATGGGATGACCAGAAGAGTGGAAATGCCATACAGGATGATTACGAGGGACAGCAGACTGACAAGTAGGCTAGAATAGTGTCTGGGAAACTACATGGAAACAAAAATGAGAGTGGCAGAAAGTGGCCTAAGATCAGCCGTGAAAATATGGGAAGCAGGAGAGGGGCAGAGAGCTTGGGGGTAGGATATCTGGAGTGCAAGTGGTGGAATGAAGCTTGATGTCAACTGGAATAAAAGATGTGTGGCTGAGATGGGCTAGGTAAGGCAGTTAGTGTGCTTTGGGAGCTTAATGAAGGCAACACTGTTAGGCTCATGGTGAGTTTGATGTACAGCAGGACCCTCAAGTCCTTCTCAGCAGAGCCTGTGCTGATGCTGGGATTATTCCTCCCCGTATTCAGGATTTTACATTTTCCTTTGTTGAACTTCTTGAGGTTCTTGTCAGCCCATTTCTCCAGCCAGCTGAGGTCCCTCTGGATGGCAACACAACGCTCTGGTGTATCACTCACACCTCCCAGTTTTGTTTCATCTGCAAACTTGCTGAGCATGCACTGTGACCCATCATCCAGGTCATAAATGTTAAATGGTATTGGCCCCAGTATTGACTGTGAGGGTACACCACTAGTGACTGGCCTCCAACAAGACCTTGTGCCACTTGTCACACCCTCAGGATCACTTTTATAGCCTTTGCTTTTTGTGTGCAGGCCTAATTTTACATTACACATTTTTATTTCTACTTTCAGCTTTTAAAATGTGTTCATAGTCCATGGTCCAAAATGTATGCTTTTCAACTTGGCTCAGACAAGTTCTGCAGCTGCTTAACTGAACTGAAAACTTAACTGCAGAAGGCTGTGAGGGAAAAAGATGCAAGTGGGGAAGCACGATGTGAGGGCAGGGTATAGATGTGAGGTAAAGATGAGACTTAAAGGAGGAAAAATAGGGGGCCAGGGGACAGAGGAGAAGCAGCCTGTCCTGACAAAGAAGTGAATGGTAAGAAACAACCATTTCCCTAACACCTGGAGAACAGATTCTCTTTTAAGGGGCATGTGAAGTGATGAGCACTTCTATGTGATGTTTCAGTGCTGAACATCACATGGCTATAGGCAGCTTCAAGTTCCAGAGAGAAACTAGGAAACAAGAATATATTGTTACAAATCTTCTGATTTTCAGATTCACTTACTAGTGCATTCAGGTTGAGTCCTCTGCTTCTATGCAGTTGCATTTAGCTTATAGTACTTTCCAGAGTCTATCAGTGTATCTAATATCTATGCACTTTCATTCGTGTTTACCAGTTTGAAGGAACCTTCAGTGGAAAAATAAACACATAATGAAGTTAAGCCTCCCTGTAAGAACTGAAGAATAAGAAGCAATGTCATGAAAAGTGTGTATGTGTTTTCAGTAGGATAGAAAATCCTCTTCTGTACATCTCTTGAGGTTTTCAGAGAAACAGGGCACAAAGTTGGCTGCAGTACAATTATTATTCACTGGAAATAAAATCACTTGAATACAAATTATAGACCATTACTTTTCAATACATGTAAAAGGTTGATTTTTAATGTAGTTCAATAACTCATTTAATATTTTTAATCAGTTTTGGAAAGCTTTCAATATCTTGACACAGACCAAGCTTATAATTTCTTTTTAATTGTTTTAATGAGAATAACTTGAATAGACCTGTGTGTAGAAAGGTAGCAGTTACTCATTTGGGAATTTAATCTTTAGGAGCCAGGTTCATCAGTGTTAATTAGAATCCATACCCAACCTCCCGGTCCTTCCAAAATTATCATACTGCTCTGTAGAAATGATAGGTCATCATCTCAAGTACTGCTATTTCACATTTTGAACTACTTAAAAATTACATTGCTGTAGGTAAAAACCTACTGTACTGGATAGAAGGGAAGAAAAATGTGATACCAGGATATAGAAGAAAAGAGGCAAGAATATCAAATGTCTCTCTTTTCTAAGATTTTGTTATGAGTGAGGCAATAAGAAAAATCTAAGATTGCAAATCATACTCTTTATACCTGAGTTCAGTATTTTAATTTCATCTTAGAGGCTGCATGCTGCTTTTTAAATGACATTAAAGAAGCCTTATATATTGTCCTTTGCTTACATCTCTAAGGGTTATGGAGCAAGGAAATCGAGGTTATATTCAAGAATGACTAGCGGTCCAATGGTAAAAAGGATAGATTTGGTTCTGTTAAATTTGGGAACACGTTTATGTGAAATGTAGATAAGGTCATAATGAGGACATATTCTTATTCCACTTCATGGAGTACTTACACAACTTCTTCTTCAGCAGAAGTAATGCACAGTATATTAAATGTTGAATCTTTTTTTTCATTTTCATTTTTGCCCTGGCCTTACTCAGGCAAATTCCTATTTGCCTGGCTAAGGTACTCTCTGCAGTCATTCTCGTTCGAGTGGCTATATATAGCTATCAGCATGTGGCACATGCGCTAGCAAGTGTTCTTTGAA